GGGATCGAGCCCCACATCGGGCTCCCTGCTCAGGGGGGAATCTACCTCTCCCTCTGCCCCTCCCCCACTGGTGCACACTCTCTCAAATAAATAAATAAAATCTTTTAAAAAAATAGTTTGCGAGGGAACTTGATACTTTAATTGCATGTAAAAGTAAGTAACAAATTGTTTCAATGTCTCTAAAATACAAAATGACCTCTTAAAAATACAAAAAGGCTACCAATAGACTCAAAGGTTTCTGCTGGCTGAAAATACATTTTAATAACCTAGGTACTCAGGGACGCCTGGGTGGCTCAGTCCGTTAAGTGCCTGCCTTTGGCTCAGGTCATGATCCCAGCGTCCTGGGATCGAGCCCCACATTGGGCTCCCTGCTCAGCACGAAGCCTGCTTCTCCCTCTCCCTCTGCTGTTCCCCTTGCTTGTGCGCTCTCTCTCTCTGTCAAATAAATAATAAAATACTAAAAAAATAATAACCTAGGGACTCAAACATATTTTTAAATGTATGCCCTAACTAACGGAACACTCAACATTGTAATTCTGCTCCTACACTGCCTTCTAGTTATTTACTATTTTAGCTCTTCCAAATCTTTCAGAATTGTGATAAATACTATCAAATGATGGCTGTTACAGAAACATCTGAAAGAGGAAAATGTGTTTTTTCCCATCTTCTGTTACTTATTTTTTTTACTGAGATGTATTTAACATATAATATCAGTTTCAGATAAATAACATAAGGATTCAATATCTGTGTACACTGCAAAATGATTGTGATGCTAAATTTAGTTAACATCTGTCACCATCCAGTTACTTCCATGTCTCCTTAATGTCATGAATGTACCTCAATCATCTTTTTTCCACTACCCTGTGCCCTTTGGTACTTGTCAAAGAAATATAATCCTAAATGAAGCAAAAAAGATAAATTAGTACTCTGACCATAAATAAGACAAAAATGCACAATCTCTGTTACAAGAACAACTAATGACTTATTCCTACTCGATATATAAGATAATTTGACATTTTCACCATTTATCTGTTTTTTACACTGAGAAAATCATCTTTTCCTTACAGCCTAGATTGCAAACCAGGTGTGCCTCCTTTGAAAGACAAACAAGCAAAACAAAAGCAAGAGAATGGGCTCTCAGTGTCTACAGCGTGGCACATGCTTGTTGGTGGAATTCATGACTGTTAAAAATAAAAAATAAAGAGCTGAGGTTAGGAAAAAAAATTCTGGCCTTATGTTTACTCCTCAAAGTTCTTGGAATTCCCCTACACAGATCTCTACTTGTGCAATAATCTGGGTCTTTCCCTTTGTCGATAATAACAGATGTATTAATGCTCCATCTTTAGATTATGAATCAGCTGTAGGTAGCTCCTTCACTAAGTGACTCTGTGACTATGTAACTCTTAACCACTTTATTCAATCTAGTAACATAATAAAGAAGTATTTGCTTTCGTGAATAAGGTACAAAGGCAAATATAAAACAAACTAAAGAGTCTACCAAGTCACAGACAATGACACGACACCGGATAATCACTCACAACGGACAGCTCAATTGACTGGTAACTGAATATGGCGGCTTTTTTCAAGCTGGAGAATTAAACTCAGTCTAGATCTAGGGCAACAGGGAGATGTTACCCTTGGAAATACTGGTGTCCAGTTGCTTCCTGGTACTATTACGAGCTGCATTCAGACTAGGACAAAGATCAGAGTGCCCTGCAGTCTTTCATTTCAGCACTGCTCAATGCACCCTGGGGGTGGGGACCAAGGGGAAAAACTGGCCATGATGCTATCACTGGGGCTTGTCCTCAGGTCACTTGGAATGTTGTTAACCATGCCTGCACCCCCAAAATCAGAGTTCTTTAAAGAATGCTCCAGTGTGAGAAATGGACACATTCCCAACTAAAGACTTAGGATATCAATTAACCTAGCTCAGAAAATCCCAGACTACTAGTCCTGGAATTCACCCACTCACCTATAATGGTTTAAAAAAGTGAAACAGAAAAAAGTCTGTTGCAAAACATTCCCCAAAAGAGAAAAAGGAAAACACACACACACACACACAAAACTCTTGTCAACTTCTTGTCCCTTCCATCTCTTAAAAAATATTACCAAAAAGCTCCACTCTCTAACACTTAGCAAAAATCAAACCTTTAGACCTCTATAAAGCACGAAATTGGCAGGAAATACCCAGGAAACTCCCCGGAGAGATTTCAGTAATCCATCCTCCCTGCCTTCCAGTGTGCTGGGTAACCCTGATCCCAGCACTCAGTCATGCATTTCAGACTGAAATTTTTGTCTTTACTAATCCATCATTCACCCTGGTTACAAAACATTCTTCTCTAGAATTTCCTAAGAAAATTGAGCAATAATGTTTACATCATGATTACACTGAATTCAAACAAAAGATGGTGACAATGACATCCCAAGCTGAGAGCACCCCCCAGAGATGTGTCTAAGATGTGCAATAACCCAGTGCTCAGCATGAGGCTCGCGTCAGATGCGACCCATCTTCTGTTCAACCGGCTGAAATTCCTTCCATGAAAGGTAGGCTCAGCTGGAAGAGGGAAAGGAGATCCAAAATCCAAAAGTGGGACTGGAAACCACGTTTGAAGTCTAGGTCTTTTTATTAGGAGAGTACGATACTGGGGACCATTTCATTTTGCTCATGTATTTACTGTCTTTTGCTTATCCCCCCACCTGCCTTGTATTTACCCTGGAAAACTTTCCTGGGGAACCTGTGAGGTTGAGCACATAATCAAATAAATGAAAAACAAGTATCTTCAAAGAATGCATCTTAAACCATTGCCACAGAAGAACCACATCCCTCTCCCCACTCACCTGGGAATGCGTGTGGATTGGGCGACCCTCTCTTAAGGCACTTAGAACAGAGAATGTGCACGGTGTAGTGCAGTCCAGGCCATTCCTGAAGTAGGACATTCAGTTCCTCTACCAAGGGGGTTATGGCTTGCCATGCCGTCCATATATTTGGTAAGGATGCGTGGCTGGCAATGGACAGAGTGTCTGGCTGCAGGACCCCCTTGGCAGGTCTGTAACTGACCACCACGGGAACCTTCCCTCGATATGCAAAGATCTGAAGTTTCCCATCCGACCTGTGCACCACATGGCTGTTGATCTGGACGCTGTAGCGTGCGAACAGGCCGGGTGGAAAGGTAAAGGGGAAACTATATTCGATCTGCAACTGCTCAGCCACGAAAGACTGCCCGGCCAGGTTGGTCCCATTAATCCAGGCCTCTGCATGGGGCACCTCGTTCTGCACGTAGCACGGGAACTTGTACCAAGCCGTGGACCCATTCAAGGGCTTGCCCTTGGGTTTATTGAGGCAGTAACAGAGTCCCATCTTCTCCAGCAGCTCCAGCAACAGCTGCAAGTCCTGCGGGGCCTGGACGTGAGGCTTCAGCAGCAACCGAATGACGTGGGCTGGCAAGAGCCCGTGAAGCAGAAAGCCCTCCACGTAATGATGGAGCTGGGTGGCCCGGAGCAGTTCCTGGCCCGGGGTGGGTGTCGCCATCGCTGGGGCGCTTTCGCCCTCACCCTCGCCCTCGCCGCTGGTCCCTAGGAGCAGCTTGTGCAGCAGCAAGGAAGGATCCCTCTGGAAAAAGACATTGAGGATGTCAATGAGGCGGGTGAGGTTGTGGAAGACGTGCTCCTTGAGGGCGGGGCTGTCCTCAAAGTAGAGCAGCTTGCCGCTCTCGTGCAGGTAAGAAAGGGCACTCTGCAGCCGGTCCTCGGTCAGACCCGCCTGCAGGCCCAGGCGGGCCGAGTCCCACCAGCTGAGCCACAGTCGCTGTGCCTGAGGCGGCTGGAAGTGCAGTTCCTCCAGCACCTGCCAGGATCGAGGCAGTACTCTGTGTAAATTGGGGAAGATCTCCCTGTGCTCCGCTACCGAGAGCAGTTTGTCCCGAAGCCGCTGTAACTGGCGAGGGTCCCTACAGCTAACAGGCAACACCGGGGAGAGGATCTGCAGCCGGTGGTTGAGCAGGTACTGAAAATGGGCCTTGCGCCGCCGAAGGTTCTTGTCTGAAACCCCATAGTAGGCTGCATGGGGGCTGGCGGAGCGCAGCTCAAAGTCCCGGGCCAGTGCCTCGTCCACCACCCGGGCCAACCGGCTCAGCCCCTCTGCGTCATGCTTCTCCTGCAGGGCGATCTGGCGGTGGATGTCCAGGCACTTCTCCTCCAGCTCCCGCTCCCCACACAGGTCTGCGTGCGTGCCCACGATGCACACCACGGCATGGGGCACGCGGGCCCCCACCCGATGCAAGAAGGAGCCCACGGTGGTGGGAAAGCGGGCTGGCTCATAGGTGGCCAGGTTCACCACCAGCACGTAGAGGGCTCCTGGGGAGAGGAAGAAGGGCTGGATCACCTCGTAACTCTCATCACCAGCTAAATCATACACGATGAACCGCAGTCCCCGGGAAGCATCAGCCGTCCAGCTGGTCACCTCGATGCCTTTGCTCACAGGAGGAGCGGAAGGGGGGTAGCTCTTTTCCTTGTCCCCTCCTCCCTGGTGTCCCTCCACTCTCTCCTCAGTGAGGCAGTGACGGAGCAAGGTCTTCCCAGCAGCCTTGTGGCCCATCAGGAGCAGCTTGAGGCGGGGCTGCACGGCAGGCTGGGAATGGGCCAACTCCTTCTGGTAGGCAGCGATGTAGGGGATCCCCTTCATGCAGACCTCGTAGGGGGGCTGGATCAGCGGGTTGTCCTTGATCTTCCACAGGCCCACCCTGGAGAGCTGGCCAAAGTTGTCGGGCAGCACGGCGATCTGGTTCCCTTGCAGCACCAGCTCCTCCAGGCCGGTCAGCTCCACGATGGAGTCGGGCAGGTAGCGGATCCGGTTGTTATCCAGCCAGAGGGTGAGCAGCCGGCCCAGGCCCGAGATCAGGGATGGCACCGAGGTGAGCTGGTTGCGACTAAGGTAGAGCTCCTCCAGACCAGCCAGGGGCAGCAGCGCGGCAGGGAACTCCTCAAACAGGTTGGAGGAGAGGTTGAGCATTTTCAGTCGCTGCAGGCGGCTGAACTGGGCGGGCAGCGCCTGCAGCCCGTTGTTGTCTAGCATGAGGCTCTCGAGGCTGGCCAGCTCGCAGAAGCCACTGGGCAGGGTGCCAAGCTCGGCGCCACTCAGCCAGAGGATCTTGACGGCGCGCAGGGCACTGATATCCTCAGGCAGGCCCCGCAGCCGGTTGCCGGACACGTCCAACTCCTCCAGGGCCGCCAGCTGCAGCAGCTGCCGGGGAAAAGCAGTGAGCCGGTTGTGGTCCACGTCGAGCGTGCGCAGGCGGAAGAGGCAGGAGAGGGAGTCGGGCAGGTGTGCCAGCCGGTTAAAGCTGACATCCAGCTCCTCCAGGTGGGCCAGGGCACCCAGCTGGGCGGGCAGGGCGGGCAGCTGGTTGTGGCTGAGGTTGAGCTTGCGCAGCTCCCGCAGGGCACTCACCACCTCCGCGCCCAGGGCGGTCAGCCGGTTGTGGCTCACGTCCAGCTCGGTGAGGTGCTGGCCCAACTCGGCCACGGCCGGGGGCAGCCGGGCGAAGCGGTTCCTGCGCAGGACCAGGACGCGCAGGCTGCCCAGCGCCGAGCCCAGCCCGTCGGGCACCTCCTCCAGGCCGTTGTTCCCCAGGTTCAGCACCTCAATGTCCCCGATGTTGGCCGGCAGCACGAGCTGGGGGGCTGCGGGGCAGTCGAGCTGCTCGGCGCCCGCCCCCGGGCAGCCCCCGGCCGCGCTGAGCGTGAGCTGGCGCAGGTTGGTCCGCAGCTTCCTGGCGCGCAGGGCGGCGTCCCGCCACAGCCTCACCGTCTTCAGGTGCCCACTGTCCTTCCCAGCCATGGCGGGGCCCCGGGCCGACACCCACACGCGGGCGCCCGCAGCTACATGCCGCGCTGCGCCCGCGCGGGCGCCAGTCTCCCGGGCCCTCTCGCTCCTGCCTTCCCACCAGCCCTCGGCGACCGGCGGCCGAGGCTCCTAGCGCAGCCAGCGGCCG